TCAAGGCCACAATACTGCTTTATTTATAAAAAAAAACTCCACTATACATATTTATTTCGTGATGTGTACACACTGTTCACTAAAAGACTGACCTGAAATAAAACGGATTTCATTCCGCCCATAACATAACATGTGGGGGGGGTCCTGTGGATTGACGGGATCTGACGCCACCCGTTTCTCTACTTCATCGTCCATCCCTCTCACGCTATCTATTTATCACAAAATCCGCTTTGCGCATCCATGGGAAACTATCAGTGTGTTAAAATTCTTCTCCCGTTGTTCTCGCTGACTAAGCTAAGCCCTCCCGCACGCCTCGCCACTCCCGACGCGTGATTATCCGCTTTTAATCGATGAACCGAAGTCCGTAGTGAGGAGAGAAGCGCTCGCCCAACCAATCAAGGCTGGTGCGGGACTCCCCACCCGTAACGCGATTGCCCTCGGGCCGTGCCCATATAACCTCCTCTTTATCAGCTCCTCGACCAATTGGGAGCGTTCAATTGCTTGAGCGAGCATTTTTGATAACTTTATTTAGCGTCTACTCTATACTGCTAATGCGGACGTCGGAGTCGAGCCACAGCTGTTTGTGTTAGCTGAGATCTCCCAGGTCCCGTCTCATAGATTAGGGACCCTACACATCCGTTGCCTAGAGAGAGTGCGAATCAGCGAGAAACGCATCCCCACGAAACAACCACACAGCAGGTGAGGCTACACCTTCATTTGATTTCGTCATGTCGACTTTGAACTTCGATGACGACCCCAAAACAAAGGTGTGGCTGAACGTCGCGGAGGTCAATACATACCGTCGCACGACACCGGCAATTTGATGCAATATTCCTTTATTGCGGCTTCTTTTCTCAGTCGCCGTTTTTGCTGTGAGCCGCTGTCTCTACACAGCATTCATTCATAAGTGCTATACTCATCTATTCTTAGTTGGATGAATGCGAATCCGCCTATTGCGTCACTGTTTCCATATTAAAATGAATCCCGGCTCTCTCAACGTTTCAAGTGACGACTTGTGTCTTATCAAGATCCGACCACGAGCTTTCACGAGCGGTTCTATCGCTCGCGTGAATGGCCGGCGCCGAGTAGTCCGTGATTTTGGAACTCGGGCCAGCACATTGGGACATTATTGCGACTCGTTGAGAATTATGGCCTACAGAATTACGCTATATATAATAAGCTTTTTGGAGCTGCTCATATAAATCGCCCTCGCTCTCTGCGCTAAGTCCGCCCTGTGTGCGATCAGAGCAATTTACCCAAAGCTCCGAGCGTGTATGAGCCGGATCTCACTTTGACTCACCCGTACGGAAAGAGCTCAGACATAACTAAATAAAGAGAGCATAAGATAAGTTACAGTAGAGTTAATATTATTAATATAAATATAATAATAATAATAATAATAATAATAAATGTCTTAAATAGAAGAGTTTGGAAATCGAGATAGCCGAATGTGGGGCGCAAAAGCACAGCCGTCCCGATAGTTATCAGAGCTCGGATTTGTTCCGCAAATTAGTGTATACACTGCGATTTATGGAACTCTGCCTCTGGCAGGTATCAGCTGTGACAGGTTGGCGGGTATCAGATGTATCAGAGCCGTAATTCTGGCAAGAAGAACTAGTCGTCGCGGAGCACATGTAAAGCTAGCTGGCAGGTAGAAGCGTTTAGTGGAAACGGAAATAGTCTCGTAGTAGGGAAATCTGCAAGTAACTATTTTATGTGAGCAGTGTAATTGGTTTAATATTATATATAAGGAAATTAATTAGAATATAAATTCAACCGTCAAAACGAAGATCAGAAGATGGGATACTGGTGATCGATGGGATTCTTTCGGGATAGATTCTTCATTTCGGCAAGCGAGAGCACGATTGATTGATTGATGATTGAGTTTAAGGGTGGTTCAATCAGCTAGGTCGTAGCCGTCGTGTCAATTTATTTTAAGACCACAACGCACTGCAAGCTAAATAACATTGTAAATGGAAAGTAAAAAGAAACAACGAAAAATAACGTGTCCAATTCAAGAAGGGTTTGGCAAAAAGAGCCAGATAAACACTTTAAAATCTCCAACTAAATGTCAAATAATTGGTATTTTCTTCTTCTCTCAGATAAGGTACAGCTTTTAGTTCTCGTAAAACGCAAAAAAAAACTTGCAGAGAGGAGATTCGCCATTTCTAAGAATCTCGCTTGAGCAGTGATGCCTGCGGTGGCACTATCTTACGAGATAGATCTTAAGGATACGAGTAGAGCTTTTGAATTCACTGCAGATCATAATATTCCTTAATGGCATGAATTATCAATAGAAGACACATCCTACTTTGCCATTCTGGGAGGAACCATCGGTGTTATGCCAGGATACATAGTTTTGTCGTCTGAAATTCCGTTATAAATGTACTGGGGATGTTGAGGATTTAGGGAGTTTTAGACCAATCTCAGGTCTATCAGATTCAGTCGACAGACGTTTTTCAATGAGAAACAAAGGTTTTCGAGTGTCACCAGAGGTTGGCCAATGGTTTGATTAGGCTTCTGTAAAAGCGTACGGAGTCGGCATTCCCCAGAGGACGGGGTAACGATGGTCTAAGGGCTTATGATGTCAGGTGGTTAGGATGTGTGTTAAATCTCGTGACTAGCATAAGCCCTCCCGCAGCGCCGCACTCGAACGGGTGGTATCGCTACTAAACGAAGCTGTGGTGGGTGCCAATACGTTATACTCTCGACCAATTGGGAGCGTTCAATTGCTGAGCGGCATTTTTGAATTATTCATAGGTGCCTCTGGAGTAGATAAGCAATTTATTTTAGGATTTCGTAGGTAATGTAGAATACACTGCCAAGGAAGTGAATCCGAATGACAAAAACACCAGTAAAATTAAGTGACACACATTTAT